CCGAAACCCGAAGACTACCCAGGTGAACGGATTAGAGCGTGTAATCAGATTACTTAAACGGTTGCGTTGAGCTAAAACTGACACAACAAAGAGGAAACATCGAAACCCTTCGAGTAAAACTGCATGACATTTCAGCATTACATACTTCCCTTACATGAGCAGTAACATCTACTGACTAATTATAACTGATATTCAGAATGACACTGTACAACTATTCGTTGACAGAAAAAGTGAAATGCAACCGCCTATAAATTAGTAAGAGCATCATGAGCCAAAGCAAGAGCCTGGAAGAAAGTTGGTATAATAGGAGTAAGTTTGAGACCACAATTCCTGCTGAACACGCTCATAGCCAGACGTTCTTTAGCGGTATCATCGGTTCTGCCCACAGGATGATAAAATCTGCGTCTCAGCTCATCCTTAAGCCCACGGTTCATGCATTCAACCGAGTTTGTATTAACTCCGGTATTAGGGTCGACAAAGTGCCTTTTATGGCACACCGTTTGGTGGTGAATGTCAGGTCTGAAGTGCTTGATGGAAAGGTAAGATTTCAGCTCATCAGTAGTTAAAGTAGCACCTGGAGCGGCAACTTCATCTATCAGAGGCACCAAAGAGGTAGCTTTCCTATCAGGGACATGCCTAGCCACAACACCACTAACACGGCCATTGCCGTCCAAAGTAGCAAGAGTTTCCACCCAAACTAGCTGCTTGGATTGCCTCACGGGTTTACCTCTGTGGTACTTGGGCTTACCACCTACCACCATCTCATCGCACTGTATATTGTTGGATTGCTGTACCTGTGATGTATTGAAGAGGTCACAAGCCTGGCCTGCTATTTGCAGCCACCAGGTTACGCTTCGCGAGGACACACCGAGTTCAGAGACGATGTCCTTAGGCCGTCGACCGACGGCGATGAGGGATAAGATGCTTACCATCATTGTGAATGATAGAGAAGTTCTTGACCATATCCCAGATCTCACAGAAGTATCAGTGACAGAACAGTCAGAGTTGGTACATCTGAGATACCACACGCGAAGGCCGCTTTTGGTGGTTTTGGAGTAACGTCGTCGGACCACTCCACAGCTGCATAATAGGTGCGTACTCAAGAGCTTATGAGCTTGCAGCCACTCGAGGAGGGGTTCCTCATCGAGTAGCGGGATGAGCCTGGTTGGAGAGAAGGTTGATAGACACTTGAAGTCAGGGCAACCTGTGCACGACAGGAAATTTTCCAGAATGGCTTGGTCAACCAGCTCATAGACTGCCAGCTGATTACGAGTGACAGGAGGCATGAAGGAGGGGGGTAGATGACTGAAAGGGTAACGGGTATGAAATGATCACATGAGGTGACCTGGGGTGGCCGGGAGGTTGTGGGAGGATTGAAGTTTAGCTGGGCGAAGAAACGAAACGGTTACACAAGGAAAGCCGAGCGCGAAAAAATAAGGCGGGCGCGGATAAAAGGTGGAACAGAAGAAGAAGTCGATTGTGGAATGGAAGAGGATAATGCCGAACACAGGCCATCCACAACATTCCGCGCTGGAGCGTTGGAGTCTCCAGCATGAGAAAGATGCTCTAGTAAAATGGAGCATGTGCAACCAAAGACACCAGTTGAATACAAAAATATGAAATTCATTACACCAGAGCGTGAGTTCGCATATACCATGGAACATGTCATGCCCATGCATTACTGTACCACTAATAGGCGAAGATCTCAGAACCCGATTCATCGAATCAATCTCCTATCTCCCGTAAAACTGCTCTGACGATACTTTTGTGCGCGCCATACGTACGCATCAACATGTGGATCCGAACATTTCAATACCAATCTCTGGTCACAGGATTTCAGTTCAACCATACTTGAGAGGACACCCATTAGCGTAGAGATCTATGTGTACACGGATAATCAGCCGATTTCCACGGGCCATTTAAATTTAGCTTTTTCATTTCCAGCCCTATTCAATAGGCAGGTCGCACCTTGTTGGGGTTCCAACCATACTAGCAACGCGACGAGGTGAGGATATATGTGAGCTGCACTTAGATCTACTTCTACGCTATTGTGCTATGTATCGATCAGGCTATGGGCGTTAGCGGAATATACAAAGAGCGGAGCGGAGAGTGAAGACTCCTTACACGTCCCCCGTTAGCGGAATATACAAAGAGCGGAGCGGAGAGTGAAGACTCCTTACACGTCCCCCCCCCTCGAAGC